AATAAATTTTAAATAAAAATTTATTTTTAATAAATTTTAATAAAATTTTTAAATTTTAATAAATAGGGAGAAGAACCTACTCATAATCAGAAAGTGCCGCTCCTAACGCTCGGCGGCGCTGGCCCTAGCGGCTGCAGCGCGCGCGGTAAGGAGAGGAAAGGAGGCGTATACCGCGGAAATCGGCTGAAATGTTCAACTAATTCCGAGCAGTGATATAAATAATTAATTCTGCATTATTTCTTGAGATACTATCCGTGTAAATGATATGCTGTGATATCTTTTTCGCGGGATAGTAACTGCTATACCAACTGAGGATAATGTTACAGCGCTTCTTCATGTCTTGGACTTCATAGTTTCGATTGACGTATCAATATTTACATTCAAATGGAAAACCATACGTATTTCTTCGTCCTCTCGTACCGTATTTAGTTAGCTGCGTCCTGCAAGTAGAAACGGACACAATGTGGGAAATTGTAACAAAAGAAAACGTGTGGCAATATTACGAAAAAGTGTCGGATTACGAAGCAAAATGTAGGTTTTGCAGACGAAAATATACATACATCACTCAACATTTCCGTCGACATATACGCTTGGTGCATGGTAAAATATTCAACTACGAAGATAGACAAAGAAAGACTAAAGAAAGACAAGAATGGCCATGGATATGTTTCAAGTACAACGGTACTATCACCTCACAATGTCTTTTCTGTCGTGAAAATTTTCAATCTAATTTTGTATCTTTAGCATCTCATTTACACCAGAAGCACGTTAACGAAGTGAAGAATTACGTATTTTACGATTGGATATGGAAATATTGTAAGAGAGTTAGTGATTTTCGAGTGAAATGTACCGAGTGTACCGACAAAATTTCTAATCTTCTCTATAAAAACTTAAATATACATATAAATAAACATTTGGAAGACTTAGGATATGAGCAAGAAACACGCGACATTGTTTTTTCGTCAGAATTCGTTAGGAGTTTGAAAATTATAGAAGTTCAAGAAAACATGTGGCAATATTATACTAAAATGCCGTATTTTCAAGTAAAATGCAAATTGCAAAATTGCAACCATCAATTTAGTGATTATTTTGATTGTTCAAAGTTTTCTATGCATGTAAAAACAGAACATGAAGCAATATTTAAATGGGAAGAGAAACACAAAAATCAAAATCCATGGATATATTTTAAGTATTCGTATAATTCCAATAACGACAAACTACATTCAGAATGTCTCATGTGTGGTGAATTTCCGATTGCTCCTGAATCTACAATGACACATCTGTCACAGAAGCATTTTTCGGAAAAAGAACGTAATTTCATAAATGACCATTGGATAATGAAATATTTTATACAAATAACTG